AGCCGTTAGGACGTTCGTTCCCACGTGACCTGGGAACGAACGTCCTAACGGCTGCGAGAGGAGACTAATGTAACGTTTTTATGGTCAAAAAAGATTTTGGTGTTACTTGTGCTTGTTATGTCTAATAAATCTTCCAGATATTTTTCAGCTTTTACATCTTCAATTTATGTGATAACATTGAAAAAATCAATAGTATTGAAAAAAAAAATCATATCTTGGTCAGTTTCAATCGCACATCAACGAGTTTTTGAATTTAGATTTCCATTAGTACGTTTCGTTTCATAATGGATTTTTCATCAAAAAGATAACCTAACAAGCTTTAGCTAGCAGATTAAAAATAACCAGTCCGGAACATTGCCAATGTTGGTAATACAATTTCCATCACAAAATGGCGGCTGAAGCTTTTTCCGAACCCTTTCCATTTTAGCCCCTAATACTCAAATAAAGGTCCAAATCCCATGAACCTTTGCCCGCCAAGGCTTTCTAGTATAACAAACGAACCCATAGCTGTCAGTGAAGTATTGTATAAGACACGTTTTAAAAGTTTTCAAAATATTCGAGCTTTTATGCTGCCTCTTKGCGATTTTTCCATTAGATTCACATACTAAWACGGTTTTCAAAGTATCTTTGACCCCGTAGTTGGCAATTTGGCCCACCTAGAGTTTAGAGTGGTTTTACTGTCTATTACAGTTGGTTTTGTGTTGAGGYATAACGGAAYTTTTTGAGGCATCCTCTTTAAAGTTTTAAAAGCTATTGGCATATCGAGTATCTTTGATAAATATTAAAATACACTACTCTTATCATGTGTTGTGCTGTCATTATAAACTACTAGAAGATTTTTACTAAGGAATGAATTCGATATACTTGAATCTAAGAAAGGAAAAACTCAAATCACCTTGATWACAATCGAACGTGCGTTTCTGTGACGGTTCSGRACTACTCGTGGGCTTTAACTGCCCCAAATCGGCCATCTTTCGAAGCGTATATTATTTGTTCAATTGATAGAAAGCTTCATGAGTGTAGATTAGGCCTTTAATTTAACATTTAYTTAATGAGCAACAACAAACAAAAACATTTTGCTCGACGGTTTCAAAACTAAACGAGCGTTATCAAATTTGATAATATTCAGGACTTCAATTAATAGAAACACCAAACGTATACAAATAGCACTAGAGACTTCCACGTATTATGCCTACGGCATTCAAAAGAAATGTATTGCATGTCCTGTGATGATTGGTTGTTGCCATGAACGCGAATGTGTTCTCGTCTAGTCGTCTGTGATTGGCTAAGAGCTGTGTTTACAAAATATTCCCAAAACTAGTAATGTACCTTCTTAAAAATGAAAAAGGATTCAATATCATATATCAATTGTCAGTTAAAGTTGTTTTTGTCATTTTCTACAATATTATGGTTGTTATTACGTTGAATTTAAGATAAAGAAAATAATGAAAATTTTGAATAAAACTTAAGCCCCCCCCCTCTGTTAATTAGGTAATTTTACTTTGAGCCCCCCTATCTTGGCATAAATGTTATGTAATGCCCCCCTTCTGGTTTTACGTCACCCCTCCTGGTAATTATTGCACAGTCTGGAATCATACGACCGTATTACATCAGTACCTCCAACAGATTTTAGCTGATCAAACCACTGTATTCTGGTTGAATATGTCCTTTGGGGTTGTTCTGCGTAACACTGAGAACACCGACCCCCAGTCATTGATAAGCCCTATAACTGATAACGGGAATTTTCCTGCCATTTTTTTGTTAAAATGCGTAAGCGTTGACAAATCCGTGGAGATTGATTTATCAAAGTACGAACAAACAAGTCATGTGACGTGAAGCTGACTTTTGGGCAGAAAGAAAYGAATATAGGAAATTAGTATCAATTCGCACTTCGCACGATATATACTTCTTTATAAGTCCTGTCAAAGCATTCAATATGTCTAAAAAGTCATGAAGACGTTTTCCACTAAAAACAAATAGTCTATCCCTTTTCGCTTTCAGAAAAAAAGTTGCGCGAGGAGCTTGTGGTTTTGAATTAAAGCGAAGCTGAACTGGGAAACAACAGAAAAAGGTTTTCCATTTAGAGCATGTTTATTCTTTTTCACTGCGAGGAAAATAATTTTGATATTACTTGTCACTTTTGTTCATTTGAAGGCTACTGCAAACATGCATGTTGCCCGCTTTGGTTTTAACCACAAAAAGGTCAATTCCCGACGGAAAGTCGAARACTCTGGTTGACAACAAATGATTCTCTAATTCTATCGGCTCAGAAATTTCCTTGCGTCATGTCATTCGACCCAAGTTCTGGATCTCCAGCCGTTGTCGACGTCCTTCCAGAGCATTCGATTTTCCGTTTGGAAGCTGAGAAGATCTGGGTACGAGAATGTTAGCAACAAAACATGACATAGATATTAATGCGGGGAGTAAGATGCTCATTCCGCAAAAAGGAGCGAATTACTCGTGGGCGWTCTTTCGGCAGTTATTTCATTCTTCATGTGCGAAATGCCATCATCTTTTGAATCAAGTTTTCATTGCTTTTATTGAGAGACTAAACCATCACCCTACAAACATTATCTTATAGCTGTGCTTTTACTTGGTTACATGAAATCACTCAGATATATTGAGCCTAGAACTACTTTAGAATTATTTTTATTTGCTCAGAAAGGTTGTAGCATTATGGATTTCTGACAGCAGTGTCGGGCTTAGTTCTTTAAAACGGTATTTTTCATTAATTCTTTCAGAGTTCATTCTGTGAAAATTCAGAATCAGTCAGCCAATTGATGTGGATGTTATTATAATACGTGAAATTCAGTTATTATCCAAAAAAATCCCGCAATTATCAAAGAGTGTTAATGAATAAATTTGCCTAATGAGAAATTGCTTACATCACTATTTCATACAATTGCAGTTTTATTCCAGTATGTATTTCATGAGTTTTCCTTTGTAACATGACAAAAACCTTTTATGATCTCAGCTTGATTTCTTAATCCCGCTGTAGAAAACCGTGAAATGGATTACTGACAAAACAAAATCAAAATAAAATAAAGTACTGCAGTCAAGGTGAGGTGATTTCATTATTTTTTCAATCCAGCATCATGCATAAGGACAATTTTTTTAATTCAACGAAACATTTTCACTTTTTGTAGAATAAAGATATGAAGCAACCTTTCTAAGCATAATTACAATCCCTTTTTGATGCAGTTTCAGACAGCTTCATTGCTAGTTAGTGGTTTCATAGAAAACCTCAACATCACTGGGTGTAAAGTGAGTGTTGCCTGTGTAGAATGAGCTGCCACCTGGTGGAGCTTTGTATGTGTGCCCACTGATGAAATAACTACCAGTATTACTTGATGCCTGGTTAGATATGTACATGTCATGACCACCACCGAATGTAGGACCATAACCACTGACTCTACATATGGCATCATGGTGAAAGCGTTCAGCAGGTAACTTGACGGGACTGTAACCACGTGTGTTGTACAGTGAGAACAGGAAAGCTTTAGTGGAGGACGCGTAGGTATTGGATCCTGTCACAGTAAATCAATAATTAAGACTACATAAAAAAACATAATATCCTGTTGTCAGTGAATATTTCAGAGTAAGGT